GTGTGTGTGTGTGTGTGTGTGTGTGTGTGTGTGTGTGTGTGTGTGTGTGTGTGTGTGTCTGTATGTGTGTGTGTGTGTGTGTGCACGCGCATGTCCTTGTCCGTGTCCTTCCTCGCACACAGACACGACTTTATCGGTGACTTCACCACCAGCTACAGAGAAATGTCCAGAAGCCAGTCGCAGTTCCATGTCTATGAGGTAATCTCTTCTGCAGTGTTTTTAAATTGTTGTTGTTTTTGGGTGACATTTTTACAAGTCTTAATGGTCACCGAAGTCTAAAACCAAAGCGGGCTAATTGCATGTTGGATGCCATTCGGTTGGTGCAGGTGTAGCACATGAAGTGTCCCGTGCCTGTTACATTCGCCCTGAACCGATGACGTCAGCGCACGCGTGTATCTGTCGACAGTGCAAGTATCGGTATTAGGGTGGTGCACGGCTAGCATCGCGCGCTTAATGACTCGGTGGAGTTCATTGACCTCGTCTTTCTGATCAAACCGTCAGTGAAGGTCGAGCGCGAGACAAAGCGGAGAAGATGAAGAAGAAGAAGAAGAAAGCGCGGTGCATCAAACATGGCATCCCCTTTTTGCCGACACTGCCGTCTTTATGCGTTTTGATGGCTTGCTAGGCTCCGCACGCTTTACAGCACATGAAGGAGAGCGCAGCAAAAGCATTCCATGGGTTTTTGACACTGAAGTCAACCGTCAGCATCATGGGGACGCTCGGTGGATTGAAAATCAAAACAACAGCAGCTGGTTGGCGTTGCCAGGGTGTTGACGGCCTTCGCTCATTAAGCGTCACCGTGGCAACGCAAGACAATCATTGTAATCAATGTTGTTTTCCTCCACAGGTGCTAAATCCAAAGAAGAAAGGAAAGAAGAAGAAAAAGTACCAAAACTCAGGAACGGTCAGTTCTGTTTTTATGACTATTATTACTGTTGTCATCATTATTATTGTTGTGTTTGTTTATTTTTAAAATATACTTTATTGCTTTGTTTTATTTCCACAAAGTGAATCCATAAAATGATGATTTGCGAAATAAAAAGCGCATCAATAAACTAATGAAAATACAGTTGATGATTTCATTCCCCAGTGGCATTCACAAGTACAAGGAGCTAGCTATTCATGACTTGGTTGCCAAAAGTCATTAAATGCTAAGACAGTGCTTCTCAAGCTATCCATACGTCGGTATCATTTGTCTCAAAAATTGCGATAAGTGCACGGCTGTATACCACTGTGTCCTTATTAACATTATATAAAAAAAGGAAATATGAATCTTTTGAATAATAAACCCTGTGCACACAGTCAGTGAGCGCGCCGCTGCCTCTTACTGTAGTGGATGTGCAATTACACTTTATTCTGGTCCGGTTTAAAAAAAAAAAAAGTCAACGAGAGCAAGCCATTTTCAGCACTTTACATTGGTCAATCATTTGTGAAAGTAACGCCCACACGTCTGGACAGACCAATCGTGTGAATGTTTGGAAAAAGAACAATGGAATGTTCCTCCACGAGACGGCTGAACGTACATAACTCTATATGATCATTTCAGTTGACTGTAGATACCGTCGATTCGCTGACATTTTTGTTTGATGGTGTGCCGTGATATTTTTCTAGAATAAAATATGTACCTTTGCTCAATAAACATTGGCCCACGAGAATGAAAGTTGGTGTTGTGTCGTAGGTCACCTTATTGTCGTGCCTGGTGGACACTGAGCTGTCCTTCCTGGACTACATTCGAGGCGGGTAAGCCAAAATGAAGACGGACAAGCGAACCGTAACGTGCCTCTTAATTGCGGGCCTTTTTTAACGGCACAACATGCCGTCAAATCCCAGATTGACGGCGCCAATTTAATATCTAGTCTTTTTTGTCTTTGCAGGACGCAGATTAATTTCACGGTGGCGATCGATTTCACGGCATCAAACGGTGAGTGCACGTTCTCACTCCAAGTGGTGGAAGGCAACACACTGGGCTTGCCTTATCACTCACTTTGTCGAGATTGACGTCGCCCCATTTTTTGTTTGAAAATCAAAACGAACTTGAGCGAAGTCTTGATTAAATGTCACCAGGACGTACAAAGTACATGCCTACAGGATTTAATATTGCGAAGTGAAGATGAGTTCATTGACGAGATTTTCCCCATAATTCTTGGTTGCGTAACTGAGCCTAAAATGTTTGCTTCATTATAATTTGGATATTTCTATAGTATAATACATCCTATAGTTCACCTTTATTTAAATTTTTAACATTTTTTGACGTGTTTATTGAAAGAACTCTTTTTGGGCGGCAACTACGTTTTTATTTGAAAAATTAAATAACTCCGTTTTTAATTGGAAATTTAGTTTTAGATTTGATTTATTTAAAGATATAGAGCAAATCAAAAACAAAATGATCTTTGTTGTGTATTAATGTGGATGTGTACTGAGATTTCTTTTTTTTTCTAAATCCATCCTGTGCTTCTCCCTTAGAGCACCATAACATGGGGCTTTTTTCCCCTCCACCTTCCTTTTGTTTTTCTTTTTCATCTGAGAACTCAGGTTGCCATTTTGGCAACCCGTCAGGCTTCTCATTTTGCCCCGTTGGTCATTGATTTATGTCTCCTGGAACGGTTCCGACTGTTAAGTGAATTTTTCTGCTCTGTACTTGTGATAATAAAATTCTATTCGCTTCCGTTCCATTCCATAAAACTTAAATCGAAAATATGAAACATTAAGATTTAAAAATCGCAGTGGACTCCCACTAAGCAAAACAAACAAATATTGAAAAAAAAATGCAAATAAGTCAATCTGCAGGAACTGAGTATGGAAAGGTCCACTGGAAATTGCAGTTTCTTATTCTCGAACAAAATGACAATATTTACATAATTTTTCCTTTTGGTACCAATTTCCATGGCGCCCTCAGAAACACACACACACACACACACACACACACACACACACACACACACACACACACACACACAAAGTCAAAAGCACCAGTTTTCCCCAAACTTTCCACTCGGAAGGACCGAGAATGTTTCTCTTGTGAGGCTTTATGAGGCGCCTGGAGGCAAACATGCGTAACAGCAGCAGAGTTATGAAACGTAATTAACTTTAGGGGGCCGCACGTTGGTGCGTCTCGCCGTCATCCCATTGCTGGTTGCTTTGATTGCACGTAGAAACGGTGATATTAGCAGCATAATTGTTTTATTCCTGGCAGTTTGGCCGCAGGCCACGGCAAGTTTTTATTACAAAACTACTCAGGGGCGCTCAAGTGTGAGGCGAGTGGGTGATTATTTATGTGATACTTTTGGGGCTGTCATTTCTTGAAATAGCGAAAAATGACATATATTTCTTTGATTTCACTGTAGGGGATAATTACATATTACTTCGAAAACCGTTTCTCCACCCCCCCACCCCGCTATCAGACATAAATGGAAAAGATTACATTTATTGATGACACAACTTCACTCTTTCACCGCAGAAACTTGGGACTTGCTCCAAACATGAAG